TTACAGCTTGTGGACAGACCTTCAATGGTACAACAAGTGAAATCAATGTAATAACCTCATACTATTCAGGATATTGTATCTGGGAAATCCATTCACCTTTAGTGAACTCAAGCGTGCTTCTTGTTGTTCAACGTTTCCAAATGCAGTATTGCTGGTAAGAACTTTGGATCATTCCATTATTGTTATGAACTTACTTCCATGTGGTTGTGTTACCAGAGGCAGCCCAGACCTACTGTATGTGGAATGAATTTATAAACAACCGAACCATAACATTTATGTCTTCAAATTTTCTGAAACAAATGATAATGATGAGTGCTGTATTTCCCGCGCTCTGTTTACTGGACCAGAGGATAAACAATAAATAAACAAAAAACGTGTTGAATTGTTGAAAAATGGCTATGAGCCAAAGGCTCATAGCCCCTTTAATTGTTTATGTAAATTGAAATAATGTATAGCTATGAGCAAAGGCCCATAGCCACCTCATTACAAAATTTTATCAAGGGACTTATATTGTCTTACTTCACAAATAAAGATTTTGTCCAGCAAAGGTGAGGGCAACCAAAACGCAGACACAGGCTTCTAAGGTCTAAAACAAGCGGCCAGGCCACGGGGAGGAGGTGGGGAAAAGCAATCGGACAAGCGTTACTACGGAACTAAACTCCGTAAAACACCGAGATATTTCAACAGATTTGTAAAGTCATATTCGTATAGGAGCGAAATATTCTTCCAGCTTTCGGTTCAAAAGGGTCGATACTATCAAAACATTCCATAGTTGAACATAGTTTATAGGTCACAACCAGTTAATGTTCGAAACTTTATAGAATTTGTCGCTTAGGCTTCCAGTTGAGGTGCATGTCAAATAAAAAAGTTTGTGTTACAGGTACAAGCATAATAATTGTTCCAACCGTATGTTCTAAGAAAGTTGCTCCTTCGTACTAAAATGCGGCAAACTTGCTTGTTTCCCATTCCAACAAGTTACAGTAATCAGCCTTTTCTCCGACTGAGTTATTTAGTGAGAATGATTGAAGTTGTCCGGATAGCAAAGTGGATCGAGTAAATTAGCACCTTCGGTTTCCTGCTGTACATAAACATTTACGGAAGACCAGGAATTGGAATCCCTGAAGCTTAGCCAAAATCAGTAACTGATCTAAACGCATGCATACTCTGTTATTGTCTACGCTACTTCGGGCCGTTCGTTTAGGATACTTCACCGAAATCAGCTGACCGTGAAGGCCTGGGAGAAAGCCGTACAGCAACTTTTACACGCCATCTTTCGACATGCTAAGTAACCTGGCCCACGTCAAAAATGTAAACACAACGGACTTCTTTACGGTCGAACTCGACTTTTAGTCATGAAAGAAAAATTTATTTGGCATCAAACTAAGGTAAGGAGTATTATGAAGTCATTCTGTGAGAGCTAAATCGACTGTTTTACTAAACGCAGTAGCGGCCTAGCTAATTCTACCGGAAGGCACTATTGAGAGCCGATCGATTACACGCAATGTCGTTTTAATTATCCCGTAAATCTGGAAACGAGCAAAGTCCACAATCTTCTTCAGCCATTTGAGGTCAGTAATTAACATTTGTTTGTTATTTCGTCCGCTAATAACCGGAAGAATTGCCAGTTTCACCGTTAAACGGTCTTCCAGCCGTTTAAATAGCATGTCGACAGATGGCATGTCGAAAGTTGGTCGAAGGATGTCGCCTATGCACGTAACACTGGAAGAGGATGTAAACGGAATTTGTTCCCATTTTGCTATCAGAGGTATTATCCATTATAAAAGAATTTAAGGCTGGCTATAAGGCCAACTCGACTCGAAGCCCAATAAATTCTCGAATAATCAACGGATCTGCTCCAAATTGCGATCAGCTGAACTATGTATTCCGTGATTTCCTGTATATTGGTCGCTGGCTTCCAAAACCCATCGCAACTGCCCGAGAACCACTAATTTATCACCAAATTTGCTTGACCTATTAGCTCCGCCATGAACTTTATTATCGATGATTTGCTTTCCTCCAAATGGTAAAGGCCTGTCCAAACGGGAAATGTTTGGCGACTAAACACCATCAAACATTGTTTGGTGACCAAACATTTTATCGTTTGGCCACATTGTTTGGTGCTGTTTGATCGTGTTTGTTCGTGTTTGATAAAATTTGAAGGTCATCAAACATTCGATCAAACAACTCGAAACATTTCTTTTGTTGTCGTGTTTGATGGGCGATGTTTTGTTCGTTTGGACAGCCGCATTAAACATGTTTGGTGCGCGCATGCGTACCACGCTTGCTCAGCGGCTTGTATCCATAGATACCGCGTCTTGTTTGCGTACGTCGCTCGTTCAGTATTTTGAAAATGGCGAACTAAGAAGAAGCTTTGGTGGACGTTGTTGAACATAGGGAGATAGTTACCGAAGAAACGCCGAGTCTTAAACGAAAGTAAAGCAAAGGAAAGGCAAGGAAATGGAACGATGAAGAAACGGATCTTTTGATCGATCTATTGGAACAAAATGCATGCCTATGGGATGTATTTTCAAAGGAATATCACTTAAAAGATATGCGAGATAAAGCATACGAGACGATGCAAGAAGAACTTGACATTCCCATAGCGGACATAAAATACAAGATCATTGGGCGGAGATCGCAGCTCGGTCGTGAAGTGGCCAAGGCGAACCAAAAGATATCAGGACAGGGAGTCAGAGGAAATTACAAATCCACCTGGATTTACTGGGACAAACTCCAGTTCCTAATGCCTGTCATCAAAGCTGGGAAAAGCAAAGACAGTTTACAAGCTTCAGCAGATAGGCAATCGTATGTAAGTCCTGATACAATACAAATAGAAGATGTACAAAACGACACGGAAAACCAGGAAAACGAGTTACAAACTACACGAGCAAAGTTACCCAAGAGAAGAACTGAACAAGAACTCACGTCAAAAAGGCGCGCGTTGCTTGACAGATGCCTGTATGTTCTTAAAGAACCTTTGCAGTCTTAAGAGAAGAAACAGTGTCATTTCCCAATGCACATTGCAGAAAAGTTAGCTTCCTTCGACAGAAGAACAAGGCAGATAGCCGAGAAAGGAATAAATGATATCATATTTGAACTGGAAATGGGTGACCATTCCCAGTCACCAGCTTTCCCTCGTCATACTGGTAATTCCATGCAGTACTCCTCAAGTGATTGCAGTCAAGGCTTCTACATGGGAATGCTACAAAGCCAGGCTCCACAATACCATAATTTCTCAGACATTGAATTACTACATTACATTTCAAAGGTTCCTGTTGCTGTTTATCCCAGTTATTCAGTAATATTGACTAAGTTAAATATTTTTGAGAGAGAATTAGGGAACATATAAGTTTGTTACTGTTTGGTACAAATAGCTGTTGACTTTGGTCAGATATAAAATAGCATAAAAATGAAATATCATTATCAATATATATTTAGTAGAACATAAGAACCTTTTTTCACTACTTTCAACATTATTTATTGATCAGAATATTCCAAATAATCTATTTTTCCACATTTTCACGGGCATTTTTAATGCTGAGGCCTGACTTGAATTAGTCCAAGCTTTTTCTTAAATGTAGTTATAAAATATAATTATTTGAAAGGATGAGTTTTGTTTTACTGGTGGAGACGAGAATTGGGCATTGTAGCCTTCAATGTAATGTTAATGTTGAGCATCATTTGGTCTGGGATTCTATCCAGATATAAAAGTCTACTTATTGTGACATTTGATATATTTTGGAGTTAATAAAATCATTAGCATTTTGTTATGTTATTCAGATAGGTTTTTTTCAATGGCAATTTGTAAAATCAAATAAACATAGTTTCATGAAACTGATATTTGTTTTGCTTTTCTTTAAACTGGAAACTTTGTGTATACAGCAGGTAATATACATGCACAATGGAACCTCCTCCCTCAACATCTTCCCTCCCCTTAAAGACTTAATAAATCTTTAAGTGCTCTTATCATGTTCTATGGTGCATGCAATCTATTCCTTATCAGTCGTTATCAGTCACAGAAGCTGTAGAGTGACTGAGTCAGAATAAATCAACACTTAAAGGCAACAACTTGTTTCCTTTCCTAAGTTAGGCTGCCTCGCACATAGCCACAAATTCAAACTGCTGTGCTTTTATTTTCAATCATGTTCAAATCATGTTCGACTGCCATTCGACAGCCCCTTCATTTACAAAGTAATCCTTGAAGGTATCTGACCAGTTTTGCATCATTTGTTGCATTGTGTCCAGTAATTGGGACAGACAGAGACAGAAATGACTCTGATGTGCCCTCTTGCCTCCAAAGTCCATTTGTCACCTCTCCACTCCTTGACTCAGTGTCCAGGAGTCCTTGGGGGCAGTAGACATTTCTCGATGAACTCTTTCTGAGGTAGTTATGTAGTACTAGTGCTGCCTTACCAATGATTCAGTGGAACTTGGTGCCAGTTGAAGGACAGTTCTAAATACACGCCATCTGTTTGCAATAATTCCAAACAGGTTCTCAGATATCCTTCGTGCCCGGCTGTGTCTGTAGTTAAAAATTCTTTTTTTCCACGGTGAGCGCGTTCTGGGCATACGGCTTCATCATGTTTTTCTTCAGAGCAAAGGCATCATCACCGACAAAAACATAAGGTGCTTCGGTCACCCCATATGGAGGGCACTTTGGTGGAGGGAGAGAAACACTACCGTCTTCTCTTCCCTGGGATCGGCTACACTTGTTCCACACTCCTCCATCTGAAATTCTCCCATTTGTACCCACATCAGCATAAATGTATTCATAGTCCGGGCCAGCAGCAGCAATCAAAATAATCGAATTGGTATGCTTGTAATTATAATAATAAGAACCAGCATTAGCAGGTGGCTGGATAACTACGTGTTTACCAGCGATGGCCCCAATACAATTGGGAAAGTTCCATCGCTGCTCAAACTGAGATGCAACGTTGGCCCATTCTTCGAGTGTGGAAAGAAACTTGAGGTACCTTGACGCAAGATTCTTCTCTATGGCCTGACACACCTCGTTGACAATGTAAGAAATTGCCGACTTCGAGATTCGGAACTGGAAGCTCAAGGATCTGTAAGTCTCGCCAGTGGCAAGAAATCGTATTGTCAGTGTCAGTCGTTCAGCAGCACTAATAACCTTGTGACTACCTCCTCTAATATTTCAAGAAGGATTATAGCCGCTATACTCTTCTTTAATTTGCACCTTTGAATCCCAACCTGCGAAGTCTCATGTTCCGCCACATTGAAGTCTCGTGCTGACTAAGGTACGCTGGGTAATTTGTGGCCAATAGTTCTTTGCGTGTGGAGTTTGATCTGTGTTTGATCAAACATGTTTTAACCGTTTGGCCACTGACTTCAACATCAGCATGTTTGGTCACCAAACCATGTTTGATGATGCTCGGTCGCCAAACTTTTCCCGTTTGGACAGACCTTAAGTCATTGTCATGAGTCGCGTGGTTTTATAAATTTATTCCACAAACAGTACGTCTGGGCTACTTGTAGAGTTAGTCGAAGAAGAAGAGCAGTTTTTTTTTCATAAGGCGTATATCACACTCCATACTTATGAACCTAATCTGGTCATATTCCTAAGGGTTTTGTTTACTCTAGATAAACAGCTATGGCTTTTTTTAATTCCTTAATAAATCATTGTGATTGCTGGTTTAGCAAAATTTTTTGTAAATGTTTTGCAAACCACAAAATATTTTATCTGGTTTTCGCCTCGTTACCTGTTGGCTGTCTGCACCTATCTTCTACGAAAACTTCAGCCATAATTGATTATTTATCTTTGAAAATTAAAGACGTAATGTGTAATAGTAATATATCCTGTCAAAATGATACAAGACTGTAGGCCGAGTTGAATTTATTCATCAATTTCAGAGCGTTTATAGTGTGTTTCTCCCTGCTGTATTTAGGAATGGTTATGTTACAACTCGCAAGGGCCAAAGCAGCAACCTTTGCGGTAAAAAGGAACCCTTTGCAATTCTCATTCCGGGAGGCTATGCCCATGTCGGACTTTACGTGTACTATTATAATTATTATACGACATTGAAGGCTTTGTACTTTGTGATGAACCACACGGGCTTACATGGTAAGTTAACCGTTTGACTAACAATATACCAGGAGTATTAAAAGTGAATGTTTTCTGTCTCATTTGCTCTTTTTAACGCAAAACAAAATGCAGAAAATACATTTTGCTACTTTAAAATTTATGTGGTTTTCGACCGATCAGAAGAGACTATTTGGAATGGAAGTAATATAAGCCTTCGGAATGCCCGACGCTTCTGTCTCCAGCCATTAATTGCCTGTTACTTAGATGCGACAAAATATCACGCGTGCAAAAAAGGGGGCTGATTTAAGAAAAAAGACAAGCAACAAAAAGATACTAAGGCAGGTATTTCAGAGAATATTAATGAAGGGGAAAAAGGTGAATTAGTTGTTCTACAACAAGAGGAGCAGTAGGTTTGTAGTCTTATGACAGCTGTGACAAGAAAATCTTCACAAAATAATCGATTGGCAATTTGTTGAAATTTATATGCAACTGTGTGTNCGATGCTTTGGAAAGGGGAGTACCCCTTCCCCTATTTTAATCCTTCGACCGAGAAGGGACTGGGGCAAGTCTAGGATTGGTTCCCGATGAGGTCACCGTCTCACGATGCTTTGGAGCGAATAGAAGGGTATATAAGTGTCATCCGAGACCCGTTACTTCACTCTACTTCCTCGATGTGTACTGAGCGCTAACATCTGTTTTCGTAATGGAAGAGATCATGGGAAAACAAGTAAGTTACTGGGATTTGTTACCCCTTGAACTACAAGACTAAATTCAAACTCTTGCTATCCACCAATATGTTAAAGATCGCCTACATATGGGATGGGAAGTGATCCATGACAGTTTCAGACCTTGCGTGCTTTGTGAGAAACTTTTAGACTCCCAATGCATGGTTTTATCTGACAAAGTAGATTTTTTATTACGCCGATGGCAATTTAAGATATCAAAACAACCTCATCATTTCTTATGCGCAGTGCGATTCCAGGGCTTAATGCTCTCCTTAAGAGAGGGGGACCGGGGAAGCCACTGTAAGTATTTCATTGCGTATGCAGATGATGTAATCCATGTGACACATTCTCAATGGTTCCCAATGTTGTCATCGTCCCATCGTGCTTGGCCGTACCCTATATAGGTCAAACTCGTACCCAAGTCTCTCAGTCTTCATCATGGCCGCTTGCAGGAAGAACTTCTGTGCGTTTTGGGGCCAGACACTGTAAGTATTTTATCAATTTTCTAACGATTGTGTCGCCATGGAAATCCGTGAGACCGATCCCAGGCCTTTGTCGAGGCTGGTGGGCTGTTTTTCAACATGGCCGACTTTTCCTCTCGCTTCATGGGCGCCGCCATCTTGAATTTTTAATTCAGCTCCTGATTGGTTACCGCTCATATGAGCCACCTGTACTACTGCTTTTCTTATCCAATGAAAAACTACAAGGTTGATGTGTTGATTCTGATTGTCACAAGTTATTTGCTTAGCTACTGCACAGTAACACACTACAGGTTTACTTGCATAGGCAAATTTGATGCTTTTTTTTTCGCGCTATGATCTTAGCCCATCTTGTGGGATTTAAAACACCCCAGTTTTGTGTAACCTAACGTGTCTTCTCCTGCTCTCTTTCAAAACATTATTCAATCAGTTAGGCACAACAATCATGTGAGAACAAACACTTACTTAAAACGTTCAACGTCGTATTAATTTATAGTCTCTCCCAAAAGGCTCGATTCAATCAAGGTGTCTGGCTACAGTTTTTGCTGGACCATTCCAAGCTCTTTCGATGAGCTTTTGACTAATAAAATCGAATCAATATAAAAATTACGCCAGTTATTGGAAATAGATTGAAAAAAATGACAATTGGCGAAGCAGATGTAATATTGAAGAGCCAGTTAACTAAATCTGTTTTACCAGCAAGGACGACCAGGCAAACGTTTTTGCAATTTTTGTACATCAATTTTACAGCTTGTGGACAGACCTTCAATGGTACAACAAGTGAAATCAATGTAATACCCTCATACTATTCGGGAAATTGTGACTGGAAAATCCATTCACCGTTGGTGAACTCAAGCGTACTTCTGGTTGTTCAACGTTTCCAAATGCAGTACTGCTGGTAAGAACTTTGGATCATTCCATTATTGTTATGAACTTACTTCCATGTGGTTGTGTTACCACAGGCAGCTCAGACGTACTGTATGTGGAATGAATTTGTACACAACCGAACCATAACATTTATGTCTTCAAATCTTCTGAAACAAACGATAATGCTGAGTGCTGTATTTCCCGCGCTCTGTTTACTGGGCCGGGAGATAAACAATAAATAAACAAACAAGGTGTTGGTGAAAAATGGCTTTGAGCAAAAGGCTAATAGCCCGTGTTAATTGTTTATGTAAATTGAAATAATGTATAGCTATGAGCAAAGGCCCATAGCCACCTCATTACAAAATTTTATTGAAGAACTTATATTGTCTTACTTCAAAAATAAAGATTTGTGAGGGCAAAACGTAGACAAAGGCTACTAGGGTCTAAAACAAGCGGCCAGCCAACGGGGAGGAGGTGGGAAAAAGCAATCGGTGAGCTCCATAATTCAAACCAAAATTTTGAAAACCACATGGAAGCGCTAAAGGGTGATACGTACAATATTACATTGCCTGAGCTCTGCCCCGTGACCATAGCATCGTGACATTATGTCACACAATACACTAAAACTCTGGATATGTCTCTAGTAACTTCAATCATGTGAAATAGAATCGTATTGAAGCCATAAAAATCCTATTTGTATTAAAAAGTATTACCTTTATGTAATAGTTCAAAATAACTCCTGTAAATATAGCACTGTCTGTTTCTTTGTCAAGTGCGAACCACTTAACCACAGCCTTATTTACTTAACAACGACTATAGCAACTTTTTCTCGAATTCTCTTTAATAAATAAGTTAGACAAAAAAAAAATGAAGAAGAAAAAAATCAAGTCAAATCGTCCTTGCACGTAGATTACAAAGCAGCGACCCAGTTATTATTTAATCATGACAAGCGCTATTAGAACTGAACTCCGTGAAACACACGGATATTTCAACAGATTTCTAAAGTCGAATTCGTATAAGAGCGAAATATTCTTCCAGTTTTCGGTTCAAAAGAATCGATGCTATTAAAACATTCCGTAGCTGAACAGAATTAATAGGTCACAACCTGTTAGTATTCGAAACTTGATAGAATTTGTCGCTTAGGCTTCCAGTTGAGGTGCATGTCAAATGAAAACGTTTTTTACAGGTACAAGCATAATAATAGTCTCAACCGTATGTTCTGTCTTTTGTACCAAAATGCAGCAAACTTGCTAAAAGATTCAGTTTCCCATTCCTTCGAGTTGCAATAATCAGCATCTCCGACTGAGTGATTTGGTGAGAATGATTGAAGTTGTCCGGATGGAACCACGAGCCGAAGGCGAGTGGTTCCGTAGTAAACTTTGAAAATGTTATGACGTAATTTATCATAAATAAGAGGGCAGACGCGTAGAAAACTGACGTAAATTTGTTTTTTACAATAACAAGACCAAAAAATCGTCAAATGCCGGAAATAAACAAGGAGAAAAGACGTTGTAAACTTGCCGTAAACAAAGATAAGTGAATTTTATTCAAAACGACGCGAACATTGTCAATAGCTTTCCGCTCTTTTGGATTGGCTACTTAAAAAAGTCCAGAAAATTTCATTGGTTACAATGACAGGTGAAAGCTTGCATAAATTACAAGTTTATCCGTCTGTACTCTTATTGATGATGAAAATGAGCCAATCAGCGCGTGAGAAATTAGGCAGTTACTGTAAAAAAGTCAGTCTGTCAGAGCTAAATCGACTGTTTTGAATGTTTACATCTTTCGAATACTAAAAGCGGGAACGGCCTTATTCTGCCGGAAAGCCGATCGAAAACACGCAATGTCGTTTTAATTATCCCGTAAATCTGGAAACATGCAAAGTCCACAATATTGTTCAGCCATTTGAGGTCAGTAATTATCATTTGTTTGTTATTTCCACTTATAACCGGAAAAATTGCCAGTTTCAGTCTTTCACAGTCTTTCAGCCGTTTAAATAGCACGTCGAAAGATGGCATGTCGAAAGATGGCATGTCGAAAGATGGTCAAAGATATCCCCTATGCACGTAACACTGGAAGTAGATGTAAACGGAATTTGTTCCCTTTTTGCTATCAGAGGTATTATCCACTATAAAAGAATTAAAGGCTGGCTATAAGGCCAACTCGACGCGAAGCTCGATAAATTCCAGAATAATCAACAGATCTGTTCCAAATTGCGATCAGCTGAACCATGCATTCCTTGATTTCCTGTATATTGGTTGCTGGCTTCCAAAACCTATCGCGTCTGCCCGAGAACCACTAATTTATCACCAAATTTGCTTGACCTATGAGCTTCGCCATGTACTCTATTATCGATGACTTGCTTTCCTCCAAACGGTAAGTCGTGGTCATGAGTCGCGCGGTTGTTTATAAATTCGTTACAGAAACATTACGCCTGGGCTGCTTGTAGAGTTAGTCGAACAAGAAGTGCATTTTTTGTTCAGAGGGTGTTTTTCACACCTTTCTGCCTTAATTGATTATTTATCGTTGAAAATTAAAAATGTAATGTGTAATGGTAGTATATCCTGTCAAAGTTCTACAAGGCTGTAGGCTGAGTTGAATTTATTCATCAAGTTCAGAGCGGTTTTTGTGTGTTTCTCCCTGGTGTATTTAGGTATAGTTATGTTACAACTCGCAACGGCCAAAGTAGGGACCTTTGCGGTCAAGAGGAACCATTTGCAATTCTCATTCCAGGAGGCTATGCCCATGTCAGACTTTACGTGTACTATTATTATTATACGACATTGAAGGCCTTGTACTTTGTGATGAACAACACAGGCTTACATGGTAAGTTAACCGTTAGACTAACAATATACCAGGGGTATTAAAACTAACTGTTTTCAGTCTCATTTGCTCTTTTTAACGCAACACAATATGCAGAAAATACATTTTGCTACATTAAAATTTCTATGGTTTTCGACCAAAAGGAAGAGACTATTTGGAATGGAAGTATCACAAGCCTCCGGAATGCCTGTTACTTAGATGCGACCGAATATCACACGTGAAAAAAGAAGGCTGATTTAAGAAAAAAGACAAGCAACGAAAAGATACTAAGGCAGGTGTTTCAGAGAATGAAAGAGGAAAAGGTGAATTAGTTGTTCTACGACAAGAGGAGCAGTAGGTCTGTAGTCTTATGATAGCTGTGACAAGAAAATCTTCACAAAATAATCGATTGGCAATTTGTTGAAATTTATATGCAACTGCGTGTGTATCAGCTGAAGGTTGCAGTGTTTTGAACTAAAAAGTTGTGGTCAAATTACTTCCTTACACTAACAACGTGTTTCATATTTGTTGATTTTCTAGCTTCATATCAACGTGACTGGAATGTCACAGTCGGCAATATCAGTTCTACAACAGTCAATGTCAGTTGGTTGCCTTTGAAAACCAGCAACTTAAATTCCACTGACGTATATGGTTATGTAGCTGTTTGCATACGCAGAGGTAGCAGTGACATTCTTCCGTTGAGTGTAGAAAATGCTTCATCTTCAAATACCGTGGTGCGCAATCTGAAACCCTACAGCAATTACGAAGTCAAGGTTGTTGCTCTCCTCAATGATCGAGTAACTAAAGTAACAACACTTAAAAGCAGCGAGAAAACTGACATACGTACGAAAGAGGGCGGTATGTAATTTTGGTATTCATAACTTATTATCTTTAAACCGCAAGTGGATCATGTTTTCTTGTAAAAGCAGTGAGCACGAAGTGAGAAAAGCCGAAGATAAAAAGGGCAGTCGGAAAAAATATTTAAACAATAGATCACCATTTTTGTGAGTTTACAGGTGTAATAATCCCACGCGTGATGTTGAGAGAACACGGGAAAAGCTTGTAAGCTTGTTAGTTGGGTTTTTAACGGAGTTGCTGGTTTCCCCCGCCTTGGCACCTTCGAAAGCCCACGTCCTAACCACGTTAATAACCTCCTGAGAAATTAAATACCACTTAAAAATTTGTTTTCTATTAAGCTTGTTCTAAAACTTTTTAATTTTCTTCTAAGAAATAGGTCTTAGAATACTGAAGAAAATATATAAAATAGGATCTCAGTCTTAGAACGTTTTAAGTTAAAATCAAGGTTAGGTAGGTTACACTGTTGCTTCGCTTTAAAATATTATTTTAACACCAACTGATATTAGCTGGTAGTACCTGTATCGATGAATCAACCCATAAGTGTTGCTTATTTTACCACTTACTTCAATTAATCCATGGTGTCTATTGAGAATTTTGTGGCTAAACGCTGACCGCTCCCCTAATTACAAACTATTGCTGTTTTTTTTTATTAAGAGAACTTTGTGTTTCACAATTGCATCAAACCAAATTTTTCTTTGTCGTTTAGTTCCTGGTTTTGTTCCATGGGTGTATGGATACGATCATGGTTCCAACTCTCTCAAGATTTACTGGTCTCCTATACCTGAAGAAGATACTCATGGAGTTCTTCTTGACTACGTCGTGTATTATAGACGTTATGGTTCCTACGAGAGCTTCACCACTGTCAAAGTGAACGCAAGTACCCGAGTATTGAGGATTACAGGTCTGTCGGAGGCCACGACTTATGAAATCAAAGTTGCAGGTCGTACAGCTGTTGGAGAGGGTCCTTTGAGTACCACATATGAGAGCACAGGTTGATAGCTGTACAGACATGTTTAATTTGTCCATTACTTAATTGTTAATTTTAGTTTGCGTTGTTTTGGTTTCGTCTTTATCTATGCCTGTGCAATATATAGCCAAAGTTAGCCCACACATACGGAGTTCACGGGCTACGTCACGCTTTTACCACTTAGTACCACTTAGCTGGAGTTCTTTCTCGGTAAACTCAAGTTCTGCCTCTCGGTCATGATTGTAAATAGCCAGCTGGTCTGCCTTCCACCTGTTAGGATTTGTAAGATTATTGTGTGTCGCTGATATATTGTTTCTTTTAGGTTAATTGGCATACCTGAGAATTAGCTTTGTGTAGCTAAGTGTTTCAGGTGCTGTGATCTGCGTAGTCTTAGAAATAAGAAAATCAACGCTGTTTGGGAGAAAGGGGGAATGTTTCCAGGGCGATCAAAAACCAATCACATTGGGGGTTTTCTTAAAGAACCAATCAAATTGTCGGTTACGAAATGGGACGGTATGTTGTTAAAACAGATTGCACAGTTTAGAGAGGTAAATTTTACGTCTCTCAGAAAGTTACTTTTTCTGTAACCCCCTCTTTTTTGTCACCAAAGAGGCTCTCAAGTGTTGGGAAGGGTTATGTGACAAGAACACTTCCCAAACTCTGCAGATTTCGATTCCTCTTATAAAATTTTTACTTTCTTTTTGATGTCTAGTTGTTTCACCTCCAAAAGTGTCTTCTCGTTTAGATGGCTTTTAAAATCGATATTACTTGGAATGGCAAAACCGAAGAAACTATAATTAATCTGATCAACGCTAGCAACAGAATAAGACCATGTTATAGCATTAGATTATTCTTATTATGAAATGAGTTCATAAAAAAATTACTCACCAATCCGCTTTCACTGTTAGGTACTATTTCAGACGGCATAATTTAGCTCTCTTGCGGAAAAAGCGCCATTGAAGTTCTTAAAAACAAAGCTACTGATCGAATTGTCCAAATCAAACCTTGATAAAACTAGGCTGAATATTCTTTTTTTGCTGAATATCATAACTAAACTTGTTGGATTAGCCTAATCACAATGCTGGTACTTGCGTGCCTATGTTTTGTCACGTTATGATCTTAGCCCATTTTGTGGGATTTCTCGTCGAGATTTGTGGTAAAACACCAGAGTTTTCTGTAGCTTGAACTGTCCTCTTCCGCCCCTTTTAAAACAATATTCAACCAGTTAAGCACAACAATCGTGTGAGAACAGACACTTCAAATGTTCAATGTCAGTCGTATTAATCTATAGCCTCACCTAAAGGGCTTGATTTAATAAAAGTGTCTGGATACATTTTTTACTGGACCATTCCAAACATTTTCGATGAACTTTTTACCAGTTGTCTCTTAATCGGATCAATATAAAAATTAAAAATAGATTGAAATTTGGGATAATATATTTCATGGCAATCGATATTTCCCTGGAAACAATAAATTCAAAAAAATATGAAAATAGATAACACATGAATTTTGGGTGAAGCAGATGTGACATACAAAAAACTAGCACAATGCATAAGCACATGGCAAATTACAGAGGTGTCAAACTCGACGAAGCGACATGCAGATAACAGCGGAAAGCATTCAGACCTATGACATCCACAAGCTTGACATACCACGGTCTAACGGCTCAACTCTACTTAAAAATTACTCCTTATAACACAACGTGAAGTGCCCTTCATAAACACAAATGAAGCAACAAAAAGGTCTAGTGACCGAACAGAGAACGACAAATTAAATGTACAAATGTCACGAACCGTAGGAGTCGTGTAGGGTAGTCAACCCCATTTTACACTTTCATTTAAAAGTTTCGTCCGAAGTATGAAGCACAAATATTATTATTATTATTATTATTATTATTATTAAAATATCCCAAAATGTTTTGGCAGCGCTCGAAACCCAGTGTAAAACATGTCCTGAGTGTTTTCAGCTACGTCCTTCAGTGACTTCACTAGAAGCCCGACCTGGATCCCACTGTGCTCGGTCGTGGCAGCAGAAAGCAAAACTTTAAACGCCAGTAGAAATGCGGGAATTTTATCAATCGACATAATTTTTTAGCTGACTAATGGGAAAATTAGTAGGTTTTATCAAAGGAAAAAAGTTTTTGTGGTTAGTTGTACTTTAGTAATTGTCTAAGTCTAAGTTGGAGTACCTGCAATACATTGTTTTGACATTTATTTGTAGCTTGGTTTACCCGTGTACTTGACTACGTTTTTTAAGAGTATCAATAGTATCACTTCTTTTTAACAGCTAGTGAAATAGTTGATAAGAATAAATGATAATACTAACTTTGTGTTAACAAAAAAACCTTAAATCCAAATTTTGCGGAATTCCTGGCGTTTTTGGACTTGCGCTGGATAGATTTCTCAAATCTATCACCAAGAGAATCATCTTTTGAAAAATTTGGCCACGTTATTAAACATGCGTAAAGACTCAGTGAATTTTACAAAGTGTACGAAAATTGATGTGCAAATTAAGAGAGAAATGTTTTACCAGCAAGCACTACGAGGGAAACATTTTTGGTAATTTTTGTACATTTAATTTTAGAGCTTGTGGGAGGACCTTCTGTTTTGAATTCCGCCTTTTTTTTACCTTTTGAAGTTATTGTTTTGCGTTTTGTATCAGATACTTTAGTTAGATCTCTCCTAATTAGCTTATACAATTTATAGTATTATATATTGGTGCTTTCGTTTGCTTTTTTAACAACAACAAAACATGCAAACATACAAGGTTCTTAATAATAAATAATCTTTAATGAGGAGGCCTACGTTACAAATTTATCTACAGAAGGGTCCTCTATTAGGATTAAACAAAAGCAAATCTAGTAAATATGAACTGGATTTCAATAAACTAATATATAACTATACAGAACTAAAAATATAAACGTATTAAATGATCAGAACAAAAGGAGGCAATATTAAAAAAACTATGCATTATACTTACTATATTAAACGAAAAATTAAAGTTCGGCTTTGAAAATGCCACTCTTCGCTGTCTCTATGGTTGGCGATTCTCTAAGCGTAAGGCCTAAGGAGTTCCATATATCTGCAGCAAAATTTAGAGTGGTCTAATACCGCCATCTTCTAGGAGCCGATGGTTTCCGAATATTATGCTTAGATCTAGTATTATAATTTAAACGAGTGCATAAAGAGATTTTTTAATGGTCTTGTAAGCGAAAAATAGCTCGGTGTTCTGCCCTTTGCCGTTGTAAAGGCTCCCAATGGAGCGTCGCTCTTGAGAACATGTTGTTCATCATACAAGGAAGACGAGGAAAACGATTTTGTAATTTTTGCGCATTTTATTTTACAGCTTGTGAAGGTATCTTCAATGGCACTGCAGGTGAAATCAATGCAACGAGTGCATACTATTCAGGAGATTGTTATTGGGAAATCCAGTCACCGTTGGTGAACTCAAGTATCCTTCTAGTTGTTGAACATTTCCAAACGTGGTATTGCGGGTAAGAACGTTTGATTATTCCATTGTTGTCATGATCCTACTCCCACACGTTATTACTAGTTTTAGCCGATCGCGATATGAATCCAAAAAAAACCAGGCCAAAGCGACAATCGTATGCTTTGTCTTTAAGGTCTGTCGTAGATCATGTTACCAGAATGTCCCCTGCGACATTAACATGAGGAAGATTTTGGTTCACGAAATTGCTTTACTTTTCTATAAGAACACAAACCTACCACAAAGCCAGATTAACATGTGATCACAAGCAGTACTAAAAACTGACCTAAATTCACCTACGCTACCAAAATATATACGCCACGCGCAAATGCAAAAATGTACAAACTATGAAGACTATGAAAACCCAATAACGACCAATTAAGTACTTCTCGCACTTGTTTTTTTATGAGCCGTTTAGCCCTTTATTTCAAAATTGTTATTTACACTCCAGACCTACAATCATGATATTCTTTCAATCTCATCGTCCTACTTAATAAGCAAGATTCTGTGTCACACCAATGCGTCGGAATCGACGACAGGTATTTTTTCTTTGGATGGTTTCTTATCAAAACCAAGAAATGAAATTCCATTGATTTCTAGTAGACAAGCATTGCGTTCTATTGCAAACTCACGAGTGTTTGGTTTCTGCCTCTTTACCCATTCACTGTTAAACCACTATCGTATATTCGTTGCT